AATAAAGGAAGAGAAGGGAAGAGGGGACAGAATTTATAATTTGTAAAATATTTTTTATTTTTGTGGTATTTTTATATTTTCTAACCCAACAAATCAATTTATTATTTGTCTCCAAATAATCATCTCAGTTTATGTTAAAAATTTTAAATTTCAATTTAAGGCAGGCAAGGGAAGGTTAAATCTCCAGTTTAATCCCTCAACTTTCATTTTTGAACTAAATTTATTCTCGAACTTCAAAAAGTATTAGAAAAATCCTTGAACTTCAATTTTTGAGATCAATTTTGTCCTTCTGTCAGTTAAGTGTTGACATGGCAAAATTCTCCATTAACAAATTCAATTTTTATTAATATTGAATATTACCTGGAAATAAAATAAGTGATGTGATATTTTTAATTATAAAAATATTATGACTTGGTACCAAAAATATAATTTAATAAATAAAAATTTCCTTTATTTCTTTTTTCTTTCCTTTCCTTTTTTTTTTTCTCCTTCTCTTTCCTTTTCTCCTTCCCCTCCTTACTGGGTTCGAAGGAACCCAGCACCAGCGCCTTGGTTCCTTGAACCTAGGCCCTAGGTTCGATGGAACCCAAGCGTGTTGGGTTCGAGGAACCCAAGCGCGGGTTCCTCGAACCCAAGCACGGGTTCCTCGAACCCAAACCCTAGGTTCAACCCAGCACGCCTGGCTTCCGAACCCAAGGCCTGGGTTTGAGTCAAACCCGCCTAGGTTTTTTCTTTTGTTTCTTTGTTGGCTGCAGTCATGCTTGGCTACCCTGGTATGAGATTTAGAGTTTTGTGTGGCTTCTGCTTGCTTGAATTTTAAGATCTAATTACTGTTAGTGTTGATTGAAGGGATGTTGCGTTTTTTACATTTTCTTTTACAGATCTGGTATACATTTGTAGAGTAATTGATTTTTTGAATTAGATCTATTGGTCATTATTATTGTGTGAGGAACCAAATTTGGGTTCTATTAGAGATGAGGTTTGGGGAAGAAGGAGATGGTGATTGGAGTAGTAAGGGATGACCAAAGCAATGAGGGATGATCGGTGCTTATTGGGTTGCAAGATGAGGGGACATTTGAGGATAGAGAGAGATGAGAAGGGAGAAAAAGAGGGGATGGAAGATGAAGATGGGATATTTAAGGAATTTTAAATTTTTAATATATAAATTAATTAAAATGATGTTGACAATAATGAGTTAAGTTATTTTCCATGTAATTAAAGATTTCAAACAAGAATTGATTTCATTGCAACTTAACGTGCCATCTGGCACTTTCGTCGATGGAAGGACAAAATTGGTCTTGAAAATTAAAGTTCAAGGATTTTTTTAGTACTTTTTGAAGTTTAAGGGTAAATTTAGTTCAAAAATGAAAGTTGAGGGACTGAACTGGGGATTTAACCGTAGGGAAAAAGTTAACAGTGAAGCACTAAAGCGTATTATATACATACGGTGTGAACTTAAGAACAAGGTTTTTAAAATCGGACCGGATTGATTGGTTGAACCGGTCAGATCGGTACCCGGGGATGAAAACGGTTTGATCTACATAAAAAAATCGTTTGATGTCAAAACCGATCAAAAACCAATAAAAATTGGTAAAAATCGATGAAACCGGTGAAAACCGATGGAACCGGTGGAACCAAAAAAACCACTGGTTCGATTTCTCATGCAATCTTTTTTCAATTTTTTCCAATTTCACCCTTCCTATTCCTTTCTTATACCCATTTTAACCTTTAATTTTAACAAAATTACAAAATTATCAACACCAAATTAGAAAATCCATGCCTGCAGCTTGCTCCTCTCATCAAATCTTCCTTGCTGTTTGGATCGACCGGTTCATCGATTCAATTGGTTGAACCAGTTAAATCAGAAACCAAACTTAAAAACGGTTTAATGATCGGTCCAGTTTTAAAAACCTTGCTTAAGAACATAAGTACGTCTTATTCCATCCATCCCATCATCATCTTTAATATATTTATAAACTTTTTTAAAAAATTACACTTGAACCAATAATTACTTCCTCGAATTAAAAGAGTGAGTCCATAAATATCAATGGGTTAAAATTTGAATTTGATATTTTTATTTTGATAAAAAAAATTTAATTTTTTTATGTAAATTTTTTTTAGTTTTTTTTATTAAATTTTGATATTAAATGATAAAAATTTTAAAATAAAAAAAACAAAAATAAGTTTTTTTTCTCAAATAAAGGACCAAATTAAAGTTTTTTTTAATTTTTTTAAATTTTTTTACCTTAAAATTTTTATCATTTAACATGTTACATGTCAAAATTTAATAGAAAGATGGAGTAAATTTTAAATTTTAAGGACTAAAAAAAATTTTTTTAAAACAAAAGGACTAAAAACGAGGATTTAACCATATCTATACGAGCCTACACCATTGAGTTGAGTTTGCGATTTTTTTGATGCTTGAGTAGTGAGGTCGTGTCGGCAAGAGGATATTCCAATTCCAACGCAAAAAATATTCACTTGAAAGTTGAAACTATTCAATTCTGGCCCACGCTATCCAAATCAACAGGCAGTTTCAAATCATCAATCATGCCTGTAACTACCAGTAAAAGTCGTGATTGAAGTGCGGTGGGTTGATTTTATTGATAAAAAGGTAATGTGAATCATCACAAAACAACATGCGTTCTTATTATTATTCGAGCACAAATAATTCTTCAACTTGTCCCACTATTACTGTGTAGACCGTGGAGATTCATAATTTTATATTATATCTGGTAAGTTAGTACGTACCGAAATTCGAGGAGAGTGAGTAGAGAGTTGAGATACGGATAGGATAAGTTCCAATCAAAGCCACAAGTTTGGGATTTTTTTCTTAAAAAATAATTTAGGTATTATTTTTTATATAATTTTATATATGATTTAAATAAAAAATTAATATTTATATCTCTTAACTGGGATTTTTTTCTTAGAAAATAATTTAGGTATAATTTTTTATATAATTTTATATATGATTTAAATAAAAAATTAATA